TGCCTATTTTATCATGTAGACTGAAAACATCTCTTTCCCAGGCAACCTCCTAATTTATAATAGAAGGAGCAGAATGACATTAGCATATCCTGGCCACTCATTAGAATGGCATCAGGTTGTTTTACTATCAAAGAGCGAGGCAACCATCTCCTGTGTGGAAGGTGCAAATTGCATCTTGTAGGTTGCTCAGAATTTTTTGACCACTAGACAGTGTAGGAATGGGCCCTCAATTTTCAGACCCTACAGGATAATGGTCAAGTCCTGGCTAGAATAGTCTGTGAGACTGGACCATCAGCTGTTTTGGATGTAGAACTCTGGGGAAACTGCAACTGAGGTGCTCTGAGAGGCTGGGTCACCTGGGCCAGCCATTTTCACTGATGTCTCACCCTTTGTTCTGAAAACACACAAATTTTCAAAGGTAACATACATATCTGCATTAACACGAGTTTGGATTGTGCATTGTACACGAGCCAGCCAGAGATGATTTTTTTTGTTTTATGTTTGAGCAGATAAAATATACATCACCTGTCTTGTAGGTTTTATAGATTTATTTCTTTATGTCTGTAGCCAGGATTTTCAGAGGGTCTTCTCTGGTCAAATCTGATCTTCTTAGGTGAATCCTCCGCTTTTCATTTTCTGTAGAAACAAAAGCGTAACTGCTTCTCCAACATAACATTTTTTGACTTCCATTCTGAAGACATTTTTAAAATATATTGTTTGGGGCTGGAGAGATGGCTCAGCGGTTAAGAGCACAGGCTGCTTTTCCAGAGGTCCTGAGTTCAATTCCCAGCAATCACATGGTGGCTCACAACCATCCATAGTAAGGTCTGGCACCTTCTTGTAGCCTGCATGTGCACATACAGACAGAACACTGTATACACAATAAATAAATCTTTAAAAAAATATAAAAAATATATTGGTTCATTTTATTTAGTATTTTTATAATCCAGTGTCTCTCAGCAGCTATTGTTTGCTTAGCAGCAGTCAAAAAATATGAAGCCCACAAATAACACCACACAGGATCCAGACTCCCTGTGTGTTTTCCATCTCTATGTGGCTTGTCCTTTTTATATTATTGTTTTCTTTAAAGACTTTATCTTATTATTAATAAACTACTTTTTTCTATGGCTGTCTATATCCATTGTCTTTTCTTTTTTAAGCCAATGCACATTTCTTAAAACATACTGTAACCTGTCTAGAGGTTTGTTTCCATATGCATCTGTCTTTACTGAGCGTCTGCAGCGTACTCTGTCTGCCACTGCACAGTTAAACTTAGTGAATGGTGCTGGCGTATAGTCCTGGCAGATGGCATCAACCTGCAGGCAGCAGCAGTAGCCTCACCCCATATGCCACTGAGCACCAGCCCACCTGAGAGACTATAGGACTAGGAAACTACATCTCACTCTTTGTCCCAAACTCTTTTTTACTCCTTCAGGCCGTATGTTTGGATATTTGAGCTCCCATGTTGTACATCATTTGTAGTCAAATGTTTTTGTCAGGACTGTCAGCTCCCCAATAATGACATGGAAACTTGTTAAGTAAGAAAGTTTGACTGAGCTGGGCAATGATACACAGCTTTAATCCTTGCACTCGGGAGGCAGAGGCAGGCGGATCTCTGTGAGTTCGAGGCCAGCCTGGTCTACAGAGCTAGTTTCAGGACAGGCTCCAAAGCTACAGAGAAACCCTGTCTCTAAAAACAAAACAGAAAAGAAAAGAGAAGAGAAGAGAGGAGAGGAGAGGAGAGGAGAGGAGAGGAGAAGAAAGAGAAGAGAAGAGAAGAGAAGAGAAGAGAAGAGAAGAGAAGAGAA